AGTATTTTGAAGCTGAATGAGGCTGGTTTAAACAGTAAATCTAATTTTATTTTTCTCTTTTTTTCCTTTCTTTTCATCCCTCTCTCCTCCCATTCCTCTTCCCTGCCTCAGCAGAGACTGCGTTGTTATTCCAAAGAGAAGTAAGGTGTTAGGCTACACCAAACTTGCACAGGTAATTTTCTGAACTTACAGAACTTTACTTTTATGGATAAACTTTAAAAAATTATATTATTTTTCCTGGTGGTAAAGATCCGAGGCTCATCACAAAAGCATTTATTTAACATATTATGTATTTGAAAGATAAAGTAATTGTATAATTTTAAATTATATTTAATTTATGTTTATAAAATTGTTCTGTGATAAATTGCATAATGAGCTTCAGCTTTTGAGGCCTAAACTATGTGTACCTTTACCTCTCCCAAACCCAAAGGGAGGAGAAAGCACAATACCTGTAACTGGTACTAGTGATGTGCTAATTCTACCTGTAAAGTAAATAAGATAATTTTCTATCAAGTCATTTCCTAGGTATGTTAATCTTAAGTATCAGTATTATAGCCATGAATCTGAGAGATGATAGGAGAAAATATGTAATGAGAACAAGGTAGGTTCAAAATGTGAACATCTATTCACATCTATCTCTCCTAGACAGCTTTTTCCTAAACAATTTTCTGTTGTTTCTAAGTACCAATTGCATTACTCAGCTTAAGCTGCCCTAAGAGAATACCAGGGACTGATGACTTAAACAACAGAAAGCCATTTTCTCACAGTCCTGGAGGCAGAAAGTCCAAGGTCTAAATCTTGCAGGTTTGGTTTCTATTTTTTTTTAATTTTTATTTTTTGTTCTTTTATATATGACAGTAGAGTATAATTTGACTTTTTTTTTTTTTTTTTTTTTTTGGTGGTGCTGGGGATTGAACCCAGGGCCTTGTGCATGTGAAGCAAGCATTCTACCAACTGAGCTATATCCCTAGCCACTAATTTGACGTCTTTATACAAACATGGAGTACATCTTATTTTAGGTTTGGTTTCTAGTGAGGCCCTTTTTCCTACCTTACAAATGGTCACTTCTCTTTGTGCACATATATCCCTGGCGTCTCCTCTTCTTATGGCATAATTCTTACTGGATTAAGGGCCTTATTATGATTTTAACCTTACTTAACTTCTATGACCTTAAAAGCCTGACTCTAAATGTAATAATATTGGGGGGTAGGGCTTTAAGGTAAACATTCTGGGGAACACAATTCAGTCTACAATACCAACCATGTGGCTGCCATTGTTGTAGGCTCCTGGGACACATTAGTGAACAAAACAGGGGTTCCTCCCCTTGTGGGTTTATTTTTAAGAGGGAGGTAACACACAATAAATAGTAACTATAATAGGTAAAAGTATATGTATAGTATGTTAGCAGATAACGATTGTTATGGATGAACAATAGGAACAGGTAAGAGGGGTATGAAGTGATAGCCTTGGGGTGGGTGACATTTTAAAATAGACCAAGTCCTCCAGTGGTTGACATTTGAGCAAAACCCTGAAGGATGTGAGACAATTTGGAGTATAGATAGATATCTGCCCTTGTTAAGTCTGGTGTTTATTCAGTTAAGGACAATGAGTATTATTGAGAAGCTATAGAAGATGCAATTTAGAGGCAGATAAATGTGGTTGGAGTTCTACCTTCAAGCAAATCAGCCTCTGTACCAGATTGCACCATCAACATCGTGGATTAAATGAGTAACAGAAACCAGCATGTTTTAGAGCTGATTTTCCCTCCCATTACAGATGAAAAATGAGAAAACAAACTGCTTCAATGCTGCTCTTGAACTCCTTCAAGAATCACTGTCTGATTATCAAACTTGTCAGGTAGGGGCAGCTCTCTCCCTATTTCTAAAGGCTGTTTGTTATTTCCTTGGTTTCATTTCACTGTCAACAGATCAGCACTTGCTTTGGTGGGAAAGATCAATAGTAACCATACTAATTATCTTTACAAGTATGTCAATCAGCTGCTTTCCAGGATTAGCTTCTGCCTTGGGTAAGACAAAATTGTTGATGAAATTCAGCTGCCCTGCACTACTGTGAAATATCAAGTAAGGAGTATTTATGGAGCATGCCAGGGACTGCACTTAACTCAGAAGCTAACGAAATCATTCTGTCAACTCCTGATTATCCATGTTATTAAAAAATGAAAGTATCAGTGATTAACACAGAGAGGAGTCACAGAGTGTTCTCAGGACAGAAGGTGGAATGACGCAAAAGGAAGATGGAAGAAATAATTCTGAAGGTGAACAGTGGGGAAGGTCAAGGAGATCTAACCGAAGGTCAGCACATTAACCTGGGAGCAGGTGTAGCCAGGAATGAGGGCTTTGAGATATCTAGGCAATTGATGAGCATTGATTTTTTACCAGAGTTCATAATAAGAGTATAGTTTCCTTTCTTAAAATTCCGCCAGAAAATAGCTAAAAGGCAGAATATAATTCTTTAGATTATTTTATTATATAAATGAAGTGTCTCATCTATATTAGATCAGGGCTGAGCTCTGGAGGGATAGGAGCAAATATCTAATCCCTTTTTTTTTCCCATGAGTGTTCTTTCTCTGAAAGATGTAAAGTTAAACCAACAAACCCAGAACGGCAAGTGCTTTCTAGCATTATGGACAAAGACCTCTGGAAAATAAGCAGGAAGCACCTAACCCAGGGCAGAAGGTGAGAGCAACAGGCTGGGTAGGTCTCCAGGAGGAGCTAAAGCCTGATTGCCTCTTATTGGAGGAGTTGCAGTTAACTGTGCGGTCCCAGAGTCATTCAACAAACATCAACAAAGCCACCGCAGTGTGTTAAACACTTGTACTAAGATTTGGGATGAAAAAAATCATACTGAGATTCAAGATTTCAGGCTCTGGTAATGTGAAACTGATAGAAGCAAACTCACAGATGTGTCATCAGGTACTTTGAGAAAGCTATAAAAGGTGGCATTAGCAGCGTGAGTCTGTTCCACTAGATGTAAGGTGTGGTGGGGTGAATTGGAGTCCTGTGTCTGGGAGGATGACAGGTGAGCAGGATGTGGAATGGAGAATCGTGTCACTGGGGACAGATGAAACACCAGGAAGAGAGGTAAGGAGCCAGCAGGGTTAATTTAGGGAACTACAAATAATTCCTTTGGCTACAGATGAAGTAAAGACAAGCAAAAAAAAGGATTAAGATGGGAAATTTAAATGAGGTAAGCAAGGCCTTCCATGCCCTGGGGAGGCACTGGGTTTATTCCCTGAACATAGGGATATTTATGAGAGGGGCATGGGCTAAACATGCAGGGAGTAAAGTGGCAAAGTCACATGGGAACATTTAGATTTCGAGTCACTGTGGCTTGAGTTTGGATAGTGGACTGGAATGGACAGACCCTATGGGGGTAGCAGGGACCAGTTATAAATGACAGCATAATTTGGGCACAAAAGGATGAAGGTCTGAACCAAGATTGTGTACGTGAGAAAAAGAGAGGAGTTGGAGAAGAGACATAAGGGGCTGGGGAGATAGCTCAGTTGGTAGAGTGCTTGATTTGCATGCACAAGGCCTTGGGTTCAATCCCCAGCACCAAAAAAAAAAAAAAAGGAGAAATAAGATACAGGACTTGATAATTGATTGAGAGACAAGGGTATTTAAGAGAAAAGGGACAAGTGTGGGTTTGTGTTTTCCAGTCTGTACAATTCAGTGATTAGCCAAGCTTTCCCCAGGATATGTGATTATTTAGGAAAAATGAGGGCTTAACAAACTCTGAGATCTTATACAGCGAGTAAAAAGCACTCCAGTCTAAGTTCTATAATGGAGTTTAAATTCCTTGAGTGTCAGTACCTCACTGCTTAATTATTTTAATCTGCCCTAGCATAATTTTGTAGAACTTGGTAAAGAAATGCTTTAGCATAGACTACCTTGATATACATAAAAAAAAACTCTATGTAAACCTTTAGGTTAAAAAAAAAACTAATGAAAAATAACATTCCTTTATAGTGTGATACAAATTAAAACTATATTATATTAACAATGATACAACTTTTATAGGTGTTATATTTCTTTGAAAAGAAAACTAGCATTGGTGTCAAGGGACCACTGGTTTTACGTGGAAAAAAGGTATACCTGATCTCCTTTGGCTTCATTTAATTAATGTCAAATACTAGTTGTGGCTTTTTTTGGATTACTGATAGATTTTAAAACTGAGGGTTATCTTTTATTTCATGCATTATAGTTGTTCAAAGGCTGAGGTTTAGAGATGGAGTAAATTTATATGGACTAACTATAGAGAAAGTTTTATGATAGTGTTTCATCGATAATACTCAGTTGACAAAGTAATTGCTGTTTCAGGCCCTTTTGGCCTGAAGAGCTTTTGTTCTGAATCTGTGGTTTAAATGCATAACAAAAGCAAGGAATCTTTAATGGTACTTTCTTTGAAATTAGAATGTGATTACTTTAAAACATTATGGATAGTTTTATTGCCTTCAACTATTTTTAAACTGCCATTCTTTTTTAATGGTCTCTATAACTGCATGCTGTCGAGAAGAAAAGCTAGTAGAGAATTCACTTTGGTTGAGAGTTAGGTGAGGACCTGCAGAGAATTCCTAGAAAAGATGTTTTTTTTTTTTTTTGACTTGGTGATCATTAGTGCTCTCTCCACTGTCCCTAAAGCTCCATACCAGGGCATTTCCAGAACAAGGCTTTAAGCCTAATTGGACCAGCTGACAGTGGAAGGTGATCAAAACTTTTCTTTTTGGGATGCTCTATGATTTCAGAAAGGACCGGTGGTCACCGTGATTGTGATCATCTCTCACACACGTACACATCATGTACATGTACAGCTTTTATTTCGGAAGCATGCGAGACGGGCATGGACAGTTCTAACCCGCAGTGAGGTCTGAAAACTTTATAATCTGCAAGACTGAAAAAATCAGTGGTCCCCGTTCTGTGAAGAGCGTTGTTAGTTCTCAGGAGTTTGAGGTGAAACAGGTCAAGGTAAAGACTCCTTACCCGGCCATACATGCTCTGGTATGCCTCTGCAATCATCAGCCTCTGCGCATTGCAGCGTTTCGTGAGAATGTCAATCAGCAGGTCTTTGTCACAGTCTGGGAGAAAATCATATCCGAGATTAGTGAAGCTACTACTTTGTAGTTAGAAGGAATCCATTATCTCATGATAAAAACCAATGTGCACATGTTATGCCTCTTGGTACATTAAAACAGCAATTTTAACAAAAATGGGAAATCACACATCAATGCTCTATGAAGCCTGGGTTCTTCCTGTCTCTCATTTTAGTCCGGATAGTACAGATTGTTCTCCTTTCTTTATAAAGAACAGATGAAACCTTCAAGAGAGTAAGAAAATACAGCTTTTCTTCAGTTATTTGTCCTATCCCATCAAAAATGGGCTTCCCTGACTTGCAAGTGGATGAATGGCTTGTAATGGGCACATCTTTCCCACTGTACAGTTAGCCATGGCTTACAAGGAACATGGTTTATGAAGACATGGCTGCTCTTGTTGGGACCTCCAGGAAAGGAGTAGTATCAGAGAAGGAAATTATGAAGTGCAAGGCATGGTCTGCACATTTCTGACAGATGCTGGGAACCCTCATGGTTTGCATGAAGCATGGTCTCTCTCACTCCTGACCTAGGCTCAGTATCTGGGCTGTGCATCCTCCATCTCATGTCATGTTGTCACACAGAGAAACGGACCAACTTAATGGACAACTAGTTTAGACACATTTACCTGTAATCATAGTCATAGTAGGTGGACCAGGATGACCTTAACCTTTCCCTGATTTTAACTAATATTTAGATAGGTTTCTTTCTAACTAAAACTCCCAGACTTCTTTTTCCCTAGGGCATTTATTGTTGAAAATTAGCAACTGTAGATTCTTTCTCTTCTCCTTCAAGATGTAATTCTTCTCCCGTCTCTTGTGGTTTTACTACCCAGAAATGTTTTTCAAGGATTTGGGGGTCATCTTTGAAATGTTATCCAGAAAGATGGATCCTCTACCTCCCATTCGCTGTATGGACATAGGAACCTAAACTTGGATGAGTGCTGGTCAGCATCACAGAGGGCCTCGTCACACTGGCCAAGCTCCAAGCCCATTCCAGTCCCTCCTGCTTTTGCACTAGGTCACTCCAGGCTTCATTCTCCCACTCCATACATCAGAGGGGTTGAGCTCTGGCTCCCTTCTCTCTTGAAATGATCTTGGTCTCCATTACAGCAGCTCTGAATACAGTCTCCTTGCTTGTTTAATCCTATTTGGTACAATTATTCTTTGATAAGAGGTGATATATGAAATGGATAGTGAGACAAATAAATTAAAATATCAGAATGTTGAGCAAGTCATTTTTTTTTTGAAAACTAAATCCATCCTGGGTGGTCTTAGGGTCACGGGCAAGTTATGAGTCTGGTCCTGAAATGTCCAGTGAATGAGACAGGTGACTAGCATTTACATAGATGACTGTGCCATTGAGAATCAATGGGCGTGAGGGAAAAGATCAGGGTACTTTGTTCATGTGAAATAGTCGTGAAGCTGTACAAGGAGGGAGGGAAGCATAGACTCAGCTCCAAAGACTGAAAATAGTGTCTTCTGAGAGAAGAGGAATAGAGTGAAGTATGATGTGGTGTTGTCTGGGGCTAACCTAGTTAAGTCACAGAGTCAAAGGAAAATAAGACACAGTGAAGTCTGTTACCTCCTTTCAAAAATGTACATATTTTAAATAATTGATAGAAGTTTTCTCACTTACATCCACTGTATTAGTCTTATAATCATTATGTTTTAATTACATATTTATTATTATTTTCTGCTTTCTGTTCTGTTGAAATTATCCACAATCTACCATTGGAATTACTCTTCATTTTTTAAAGTTTTCATAGCTGTTCTTCCTCATTTAACCTTTCATAGATATTTCAGAATAATTATTTAATGATAATTACTTGAATTTTAATATAATTTTTCTTAAAACATCTAGTTAAAATTACTAGAAACTTAGGAATTGATTATGAGAGTTTTTTTTTTCATCACTAACATGAATCCACCAAATTCTAAAACATTAAGTAAAGATTAGTAGAACTTATTGCTAATGAAAGGAAACTTTATTTCTCTAAAATCATTCATATTTGCTCTCACATTTTTATGTCAAATTTTATTTTTTTCACACTTAATGGTGAATGAAGACATGGTACTTTTAAGTTTATCTTATATCCAAAAAAAGGAAGAAAGAAAGAAAGAAGAAAGAAAGAAATTAACTTTTCCTGACATCTGTATAATATTGAAGCAATAGCAGCAGAAAACCCATTTTTTTGAAGTTCACATGAAAAAGTCACCAAATAGTCCAGATTCTGGGACATAAACTTAACAAATTTAGAAAAAAATATAAAACAAACAAAATTTCCTCTGAGATTATAAGGAAATTAAACTAGAAGCCAACAGAAATATAGCTAGAAAAGGGTAGAAAAAACAACACACTTCTAAATAAATCATGATGAATGTTAAAAATTCAAATAAAATGAAAAAGAAAACACATCAAAATGTGTGAGATACAGTGAATGTAATGCTTAGAGGAAAATTTATAACATAGATTGCATATATGGGAAAAGAAGAAAGATTTGAAATCAATACACTAAGCTTCTACTTACACAGCAAACAACAACAAAAATACCTAAAGTGAACAGAAGAAATCATAAAAATGAGTGTAAAAATCAATTAAATTGAAAAAAAAAAAGAAATCAATAGAGAGAATCAATAACACCAAAATCTGGTTCTTTGTAAAGATCAGTAAAATCTACACACCTCTAGGCAGTCTAAGAAAAAGAGAGATATAAAATAGCAATATCCAAAACAAAAGCTGGGGAGGGGGGGCATTGCTACTGGTCTTATGGACAGTGAAAGGCTAATCAATGAACATCATGAATACCTCTGTGCCCACAGATTTGATTGTCTAGATAAAGTGGATCAATTCCTTCAAAGATACAATTGGCCCAAACTCAAACAAGGAAAAATAGACAATCTGTAAAGGCTTTCTCTGTGAAAAAAATTGAATCAATAATAGCCTGCCAAAACAAAAAAAAGTACAAGATCAGATGTATTCTCTAGTAAATTCGACCAAATGTTTAAAGAAAAAAAATATTAATTCTCTATAATATATTCCAGAAAATATAAAAATGTGTAGAAATAATTATATATAGGTATGCAAGGTGGGTTCAACTTTTAAAAATCATTCAATGTAATCCATCACATCAATAGTCTAAAGAAGAAAAATTGTATGATTATATTGAGAGATGCAGAAAACACATTGTGCAGAATACAATACCCATTAAAGGTAAAAATGCTCCGTAAACAAGGAATAGAAGGAAAGTTCCTCAACTTGATAAGGACATCTCTAAAATCTTACAGCTAGCATCATACTTAATGGGGAGAAGAATCAAGAACAAAGTGAAATTTTTTAAAACATCTGTGTGTTTCAAAAAGTCCTGGGTGTTTCAAAAAGATTCCTTTTGATTTATGTTCTCCTTTGTAGAGATTTAGGACAATTGGCTAAAAATGTTTCCAGTTGTCCAAGATCTCACAGAAATAACTTGACAATTGCATATGTTGACAGACACAAAATAAACACAGTTGTCCCAAGAACTCATGTGTAGGAATTCCTCAACAAGACTCCCAAAGAGCGAGAAGTAAAATCAAGAATCAATAAAAGGAATAGTATCATAGTAAAAAGCTTCTTCACAGCAAAGGAAACAATCAAGAATATGTAGAGAGAGCCTACAGAATGGGAAAGAAATTTTGCCACCTGCATATCAAATAGGGATTTAATCTCCATGATATAAAATGAACTCAAAAACTTAACAACAACAACAAAATAACCCAGTCAATAAATGGGCAAAGGAACTGAAAAGGCATTTCACAGAAAAAACTAAAAATAATCAAAATTATATGAAAAAAATGTTCAGTATCTCTAGTAATTAGAGAAATGCAAATTAAGACTACACTGAGATTTCATCTCACTCAGAATGACAATTATCAAAAATACAAGTAACAAGAAATGTTGGCGAGGATGTCGGGAGGAAGGCACACTCATACATTGCTGGTAGAACTACAAATTGGTGCAACCACTTTGGAAACAATATGGAGATTCTTCAGAAAAGTTGGAATGGAACCACCATTTGACCCAGTTATCCCACTACTTGGAATATACCCAAAGGACTTCAAATCTGCATACTATAGTGACTCAGCAACATCAGCATTTACATCACTCAATTCACAATAGCTAAGTTATGGAACCAGCCTAGGTGTCCTTCAACAGATGAATAGATACAGAAAATGTGGTACATATACAAAATGGAATATTACTTGACCATAAAGAAGAATGAAATTATAGCATTTGCAGGTAAGTGGATGGAACTGGAGAATATCATGCTAAGTGAAATAAGCCAATTCCCCAAAACCAAAGACCAAATATTCTCTCTGATATGTGGATGCTGACTCACAATAGGACACGGGGAGGGTGGAGAGGGAGGAATGGAGGTTCATCTGATTGGACAGGGGGCAATGGGAGGAAAGGAAGAGATAAGGGAATGGGCAAGACAGTAGAATGAATCAGACATAACTCCCTTGTGTGCATATATGAATACATAATCAGTGTAACTCCACATCATCATGTACACCACAAAAATGAGAAGTTATACTCCATGTATGCATGATATGTCAGAATACCTTCTACTGTCATGTCAACTAAAAAGAATAAATTTAAAAAAGTTCAGTAAATAAAAAAACTCAGGTAGAGAAAACAGCTTCTAATAGCAGGGAATTAGAAAGCAGAACTGCACAGTTAGGGAATGTTAACTGAGAAGTGTTCCTTTTAGATTCAAATTAGTTAAGTTTTCACACAACTTAATACAACTTTTGTTAAAACTATTCATTTTCATTTGCTTAAGAATATATTTTTGCTTTCAGATTTTTTTCTAAATCAAATAAGCTCCAGGGAAAACATCAGTAATCGTCCTTTTCAATTGCCCTTCGCCCGAGTCATCAAAATGGATGGACAGCGGGTTGAGCTGTGTTCTTGCTCTGGCACGCTACAGTGGACACTAGGCAATCAAAACCAGAAGCTTCTGAAATCTTTCAGCCTTGAACATTGACAAGCAAAAAATTACGATGGTCAAAATGAATCCATATTCTGACCCTAAAATTGCAATGACAGGAGAATCAAAACTGGAACAAAGAAAAAATATTGTTGTTTGGTGAATAGATTGCTCTGACCTATAGTTTTAAAGCAAAAAATCATACTCTGGAAGAAAAAGTTAATCTGTAACTTTTCCTTATCTTGTCCCTATATATTTTTTTTTTTTGCCATGATTGATATTTTAAAAGGCATGAAAGCATTGGAAATTTTAAAGTCAACTTTAGAGAACATATTTAAAAGTTTTTATTGTTTTCCTATGGGATGCTGCTAGTGACTAAAACACACAAATGTGTGTATATGTATACACACACACACACACACACATACACACAGAGTTCCTGTAAAAGTGACCTTGTTTTTCTAGTCAAGAGCTTGCTTTCTTATGAAAGGTTTTGAATGTTTTATGCAAACATTTCTTTAATGTTGTCTGAGTCTGAGTTTATCTCTGTGCTCACTGAAATTTTTCCTAAAATGGGTTTTAAAGAAAATATGTGGATATTTAATTATTTTGCATCGTATTGTAAAGGTCAAATCTTTTTAAAAAAAAATCCAATAATTTTCTTCCTTTCTCCTTTTTGTAGTCTTTTTCTCCAATGTCATTCAGTGAACATCTATTTGGCACCAATGAGCCAAACTCGGAACTCTGAGAGCTCACAGTCCAGTCAGCAGGTGAGGCTAGCACAAGCACAGCACAGGTGAGGCCAGGGATGGGAGCCAGGAAGCAAGGGACCTGAGATGGCGCACCTGGTTGATTTTGGAGTGCTCAGAGAAGAAGGCAAAGAGGAAGGCTGATTGCAATAGATTCTTGAAGGAAGAGAGGTTGGATGAAAAGTCAAGAGAAGAAAATAACACTCCAGGCAGGGAGATTGTTGGGCCAATTTACAGAGATGTGAAAAATCAGAGGCATCTGGGAGACTAGCAAGTTTGATTTGGCTGGAAGTGAAGACAGCAACAGAAATAGGCAGAAAGCAAACAAATGCAAAGGGCAGGAAGAATGTTCAATGGTGGATTAAGGTGTTATGCTTTGGAATTTCATTTAGTAGTTAGTGATAAGGTATTTAAGGACTTAAGGCAAACATAGCAAGATCAGACTTGCAATTTTGCAAGGTAAATGTGTTCACCATGATTATCCTTTACTATTGTTTTTCTTCTCAATTTTTATCTTTGTCCAGTTTTTTGTTTAATCTGCATTTGATTTTTGTAAAACATCAGCTATTTTATACCCATAGTATAGACTTAAGGTAAAGCAAAACCAATATTGCAATAAAAGATAGCAGAAATTTCTGTTCTTACCAAATCCTTGGAGTGCTCCCCCTAGCATTTGGGCATCCATTATGGGATTGAAATTGGGAGCAGGAAAGATGGTTCCTTGCACCTAGTGAGAAAAGTGGATAAGAAAGAGATTATAGTAATTCACATGAATGCTTTAATATTTCTCCAGATAAATGAATACAAAGATATATTCTACATATTTTAAATACTAGAAGACATGTATACAAGTCTCTTAAACAAAGGTCCTAGTTATATGCTAAGTATAGAGAGCAAATTTGATGGGGTTGATTTTATCCATTGGCCTCTATGATTTTGAAGTCTATTATTTAAATTAAAAACTGAGATACTAAAGCCAATGCTAGAAAAATGTGAGGATCAAAGTAAACAATGAATGTCTTTTTTTTTTTTTTTTGAGAGAGAGAGAGAGAGAATTTTTTAATATTTATTTTTTAATTTTCGGTGGACACAACATCTTTATTTAATTAATTTATTTATTTTTTATTTTATTTTTATGTGGTGCTGAGGATCAAACCCAGCGCCCCGCGCATACCAGGTGAGCACGCTACCGCTTGAGCCACATCCCCAGCCCTGTATGTCTTCTTAGCAAACAATAGCATTTTCTTAT